CTGCCTCCACATTTCAGAGGAGCTGGAACACAGGAAAAAGAAGTTCTTGTATTCCTTTGTGTCAACGTTTAATCCCAGATGACCTTAACATTAATCATGGATGGTCAATAGATGTGTAGGTAGGTAGGTAGGTAGGTAGGTAGGTGGATCCATCCACACATCCATGCGTCCATCCAGACTAGCTGTTGAGTTAATCGTGTCCTGGGTCTTCTCCGGGGTCTCCTCCCAGTTGGACATGTCCAGACTACCTCCACCAGGTGTTCAGGTGTCATTCTTCACCTGGATGTGGAGGAGCAGCCGCTCTGCTCTGAGTCTCTCCTGGAGAACTGAACCATCAACCTCGATAACCAGAAGAATAACTACAGAACCTGCCTCTCGTCTTCATGGAGCTCATCTGCTGCTGATGAGGAAGTCAAACAGTGATGGCTGCCATGGCAACGCTGCTGCCACAACGTGTTGTGATGTCTCTGGTTGCTACAGTAACAGCAGTTATCTTGATAATGTGAGCTAAAAAAGTATTTTTTTACGTTCTTTGATAAACATGTGAATCTAAAAGAATATAAGTTTTCCCACAGCCCTGAAAACATTTTGGTTTTTAAAATCAAAGATGCGTTCGTGGCGGTGGAGCGTATCATGAACACCTGACAAGTCAGAGCTGCAGGTGTTGATGCTTCTCGGACACCACTCAGAGTTACACCTGTATATAAAAACTACACAGTAATGTCTATAACACCACGTTTTATGAAACTGTGATGTTTTGACGTCGATTAATCACGGGACTCACCTGTGACTAGGGATGGGCATCGTTAAGGTTTTATCGATACTACTACTCATCGGTACTGCGATCAGGTATTTTAACAGCTCTCTTATCAATACTTTTCTATTGGAATAAAAACCGTGTTTCCCCCCTGGGAATCGCACTATTCTGGTACCGTTAATGATACCGTTAATCCTGGAGCTTATCGATCCGGTCAAAATTCATCATGTGGAACCGGTACTGAAAAAACACCGGTTTTCGATAGCATCCCCACCTGTGACGGTGATCTTGGCCGACCACTTGGAGGTGCCGTCCAGGACGTTCTGCTTGATGCTCTTCATGTGCTGGGAGTGGAGCATCTTCGACACGTTGAACACTTTACGGATTTCCTCGAAGATCTCAGGTTTGTTCCTCTCGCGGATCTTCATCCTGTCCTTCATGGCCATGATGATGTGCTGCGTCCGGTCCTCCGCCCCCGTCTTGGAGCTCTTCTCCGCAGCCCCTGGAGAGAAACGGCAGCATCAATTCACAAGAACTGACAAGTAGAACCTTTAAATTAATAATTATTTTAATATGAAATATAAGACTTTTCAAATCGTATCATAAAAAACATTTTAACTAGAGAAATTGCATTTCCAGAGAAAATGCTAGTGTGAGTGCTTCATGCTGAAAACTTTAGCTGAAAGCTGCTGAAATTGAGCTGAAAATATTTAATAGGAAAATTGTTAATGTGAGCTCACTTTGAAAAGCTGAAAAAAAGCCTAACTTTGCAGAAAAACAGTGAAAAAAAATCTAGTTGAAAACAGCTAAAAGCTAAAAGCTAAAATAGCTGAAAACATCTGTAAGAAGCATAAAAAGCAAAATTATCAGAAAAAACATAAAGTAGAAAACATAAGAAGAATAGCAGAAAGAAGTAGATCTAAAACTGAGAAAGAAAAAAAATCTACAATTAGCTTAAAAATAAGCTAAAGGTAGCAGCCACAAGTTGTAATTAATGTCCAGTTATTATCTGGGCGGCCCAGATAATGAAAGTTGTGTAAAAAAAATTTAAATTAGCAAAAAAAAAAAAGCATAAAGTACAAAAAAGTGTCAATTTGTAGTAAAACAGCTGAAATTTTCAGTAAAACAGCTAAAAATTTAGGTGGAAATTCTTTAATTAGCGTAAGGAACTATAAAGAGCTTGTTTGCTGAACTTAGCAGAAACTGTAATAGCTTTAAAATGTGTATTTAGCTTAAAACAGCTAACTTATGCTAATAACAGCTGAACATTAGCTAAATTTGCAGCAAATAGCTGAATATAGCAGAAAACATCTGTAAGAAGCATAAATAGCACAAATTAGCAGAAAAAATACAAAAAAGTAGAAAAAAGCAGAAGAATAGCAGAAATAAGCAGATCTAAAACTGAAAAAGAATTAAAAAGCTAAAATTAGCATAAAAATAAGCTAAAGGTAGCAGACATAAATTGTAATTAACGCCCAGATATTTAAAGTTGTGTAAAAAAATTTAAAATTAGCAGAAAAAAATGCGTAAAGTACAAAAATGTCAATTTGTAGTAAAACAGCTAAAACAGCTGACATTTTCAGTAAAACAGCTAAAATACAGTATATAAATATATAAAAAATTTAATAAAAAGACCTTGATAAAAAAAACAGCTAAAATTTAGCTGGAAATTCTTTAATTAGCGTAAGGAACTATTAAGAGCTGGTTTGCTGAACTTAGCAGAATTAAGTTGTGATAGTTTTAAAAAAATGTGTATTTAGCTTAAAACAGCTAACTTTAGCTAATAACAGCTGAACATTAGCTAAATTTGTAGCAAATAGCTGAATATAGCAGAAAACATCTGTACGAAGCATAAATGGCACAAATTAGCAGAAAAAAGCACAAAAAAGTAGAAAAAAGGCAGAAGAATAGCAGGAAGAAGCAGAATTTTAGCTGAAATAGCAGAAAATAAAGCTAAAATTAGCAAAAAAAGTAGCTACAATTAGTACAAGAAAATAAAAATGAGCAGAACCAGAAAACGTGTGAGATGTGTTGTAAAGATTTAGAAACATTTTAAAAGATTTTTAGGATGTTGAAAACAGCTCCATTCATTTTCAACAGCAAAAAAGTGGCTGAAAAAGTGAAGTAGCTAAACAAGTATAAATAGCTGAAATACCAAAAGTCAAACTAGCACCCTTTGCATAAATGAGTTGAACGTTTTGATATATGAATTGCTGACAAAGCACAAAAATTGTGGAACGAGTTCGATGCTGAAAACCGTACCGAAGAAAAAAAGATCTGAATTGTGTGAATGGTTGTGAAGCGTCGCACAACAAACTTTGTGAAGCAGCTTGGACTCACTCTGCAGGCAGTCGGCGTTCAGAAGCTCCTGGCATTTCTCGTGAACTTTGACCCCGCACTCAGCGCAGCGCATGCCCTGCCGGGCGATGCCCCACAGCAGACCCTCGCACTCGTAGCAGTAGGTGGGCGTGGTGGCGGTCCACACCTCGAAGTTGTGCGGCGTGGTGCAGGAGATGGGGTAGATCAGAGCCTGCAGGGTCTTCTTGTAAACGTGGTTCTTCTGTCGAAGCAACAAAAACAAACAAAAAATAACAGAAAGACAAAGAGGATTATAAAATATTTTAAAAGACTGAAAGGGATCCGTGATTAGTTGTAACATTAGACTTTATTTAATAAACATATATTTTAACTGTTAAAAAAAGACTAAAAAATACTGTAGGCTGTTTAGTTTTTATAACTTTTAAACTAAAAGTTTTAAAATATATTTCACGGACGGGGCCATTTTATTTACACACAAAGCATTCTGGGTAAATGAGGACGTGGATAGGTTAGTGCCTGGTAAGTACCAGTTGAGTACTAAGTATGTTTTGACTAAGTCCACAGTAGGTACCAGTTATATATCTGGAAAGCAGCAGGTAAATACCCAGTATTTGGTAAGTATCCTTCAGGTACCAGGTACTTACCCTGAGCATCCCTGGTAAGTACTCCAGTAGGTATCATGTAAATACCAAAAATTGCCTCATACTTACTAGGCATGTACCAAGTACCAGATAACTACCATGTACATACCCAGCAAGGACCAGGTACATATCTAGTATGTATCTGGCAAGTACCAGTTGTACACCAGGTAAGTACCAAGTATGTTAGTCCCCTGTAGGTACCAGTTATATGCCTGGAAAGAAGCAGATAAATAGCCAGTGTGTATCTGTTAGGTACCCTGTGTGTACCCAGTATGCATCTGGTAAGTACCTGGTAAGTACCCAGCAATTTGCTACTACCTTCCCTTGAGGTACCAGGTTTTACCCAATAAATACTTAGTATTTATCCAATAAGTACTTTTTAGGTATCGGGTAAGTTCCATGTCCGTATCAGGTAGTACCCAGGACATCAAAAGTACATACCTTTTGTGTACCCAGTAAGTATTTACCAGGTAAGTACCAGAGGCTGTGTGCTGTATTTCTAGCCTAGTTAGGATTGCCGTGAACAATGTCAACCTGTTATTATCCACCTCTAAACTGGACTCTTTATTTATTTATTATTCATCCCAGAACTTTCACCGTTAATGAAAAATACATCATTGTGTCGGCGTCGATCTCACGAGGTGTGCTATTGTTTATCTTTACATAATCTGTTACCATGGCAACGTAATCCCCAAAAAACGAATCTAAAAATCCCCATTGGATTACATGGGAAACTCCTCACTCTAGGTCATGTGACCTTAGAGTGTGAGCTCTGTAATTTTAAAGAAGAAACTTAGCAAACACATTCCTACTACAGCCACAAATTTCAGGTTACAAAGACAAACTACACATCAAAACGTAGGAATTTTTGTCTTCTTTCAGAAAATGTGCTGGTTCGGCTCTAAGACAGTTGGTTTTCTCTCTACGTGCTTCAGAAGGCAGCAAAACCAAGTTCCTTCTCCTATCTCTGCCGTTCAAAAAATGATCAACACCGGATTCAGAAATCTAACACTTACTACTTTTTTAACTCGCGATATCTCAGCCATAAAGCCGAGTACATGCTTGAAATTTTATTTCAGTAAAGACCAAAGTCTTCTGATGCTCATGGTCCAAAAATTATTTCAATAGTCCTTATATTTCTTGTACAACAGCTGTTTGAAAGGAAACACCATTTCTGTGTTTTCAGACAGAGGAGCTGCAGATTTTGGTCTCCCATTAAGATCAGCTGAGCTGCTGCTGGGAATCCAGCCTCCTGATTGGCTGAGGCAATCCAGCCTCCTGATTGGCTGAGGCTGTAGCGAGTTAAATGTAGGTTAGGCAGTGTCTTACCTGTAGCAGATACATACTGTATCATAGGTTTATACAAACGTATTTAATTCAGCCAGTTTTCAACCTAATTAGCTAAAATTTGGTACACTAGTAGCTAAAGGTCAACTCTATCAGAAATAGTAGCCGAAATAATAAATACAAGATGGCCGCCATAGCTAAGTTCAAATTACTCTAATCCAACCAATTTCTCATATATTGAGCTAATATTTTATACACAAGTAGCTGACAGTATGCTCTATCACAAATAGTAGCTGAAATAAAAATCCAAGATGGCCACCATAGCTATTTTCAAATGGCTTTCGCTCAGCCTGTTTGATATATTGAGCTGAAACTTGGTTTACTGGTAGATGACAGTAACCTCTGGTCACATACTGGAGCGGAAACTTCAAAAACAAGATAGCAGCCGAAGGAACTTCGGCCACTTTTTCTCAATGCAAATGAAAGGACGTATTTTCAACATGAATGCACCTACACAAGTTATACGTCAAAACGACCGGCTCGGCCAGGGGAACTGTGTTCTTAAGGGCTCGACACATGGGAGGCGACGTCGCTCGCTCTCCATTCATTTCCTATGGAGCCTGTGCGGTGAGGCGACAATCGCTTGCCCTCCTCCAGCTAAGCAACTGGTGAAAATAGTGCATGTGAAATTTAGCGCTCGTACACGTAGACACGCGAGCTTGCGACGCGACATATGAAAGTTGAAAAATGTTCAACTTTTGTCGCTGTCGCTTAGCGTACAACCAATCAGCGAGGGTTTCATTCACTGACCAATGAGAGGAGAGTATGCTACACACTGCAGTTAGCTAACACTTTCACCAAGTGATTACTAAAAAGCTTTGTGGGAATTTATTGGCACCAGGGTGAAGTTTATGGTAAGTTTTTCCTCATAAAACTGTATCTTGATGTGTGTTTGTTTTTCAACATCATTAGCATCACAAGATTTGTTTAGATAACACGTCCGTAAAGCACACCTGCCTTCAGAGTCAAGAACCAATCAAATTTCGTGAAGACAAGCGATCTGAGAGCGCGATTCGCAACGCTGCGATCGCTATCGTGTCCCTTGTGTTGGGTTTCACCCTGGCTGTGATGACAGCCGTTAATCGCTGTAGTTTGTCGCTGCCCGTGTGTCGAGCCCTTTACTCAACTGTATATTTCATTGTTACCATGGCGACGCAGTAGGCCGACAAAGATACCCAACAAATGCCATTGGAAATGAATGGAGTAGGCCTCAAAGCCTTCAAAACCTTAACGCTTTTTGAAATAGCTCATGAACCACTGATTTTAAACTTTATACAACTCTAACACAGTCATCATTGGACAGTCCTCTGTCACTGTCCAACACATTTGTCCAACTCAGATACAAGATGGCTGTCCAAGCAACCCTGGATTACCATATAAGTGCTGGACATCAGCACATTTTACATATGCTGAATGAATATAATGTGTGAAATTAAGTTACAACAACTGATCCACTTTATTAGAGTATTCAAATCTTACAAATGACAAAAACAGCATAGACAAATGTCTGTTAGCAAAATATTTCATGAACCAAAGCACAAACTCAGCCAGAAAACACACAAAATGACTTATAAATCAGTCATTTCTTGACCTTTAAAGATGATATTTGCTAAAGCAGTTGCTTCAATCGAAAACACAGACTTAAAACATATTTATGATGGCCACTAAAACAAGTCTTATACAGTAACAGTAACCCCTTATAGCAACATAGGACGAGTTTTGCACAGCTGACAATCCTCTCATGGTTTCTCCGGGAACGACTCTAGTTTTTAAATATTCTTCCCCCTGATGAAACACAGCTGATGTTGGGTGTAGGAGTCATGTAGGAGGAGGTGAAACATCTCCTCAGGAGGAGCAGAAACTCTTCGTTTGATTTAAAAACACAGTTTGTAATGATGACTCATCGTTTTCTTTATAATAAAACTGTTTTCATGTTAACGACGGTATAAAAATTCTTTGTGATTTCACTCATATTTATTTGAATCTTTCACTTTTGAAATGATTTTTTACATTAGCAGTAACTTTTTACATTAATTATTTCTGATTTAAACTCAGCCGGTTCTTGGGCACCTTTCATTTTTTTTTTTTTTTTTTTTGCGACAATCAGTGACCATCTTCCTACACCTGAATTATTAATGTTGTTTTTATTAATGTAATGTAATCATCATCAGGGATGGGCAAATTAGAGCGCAGTCAGCACAAAGGAAACTATAAAATTACGAGCCTGGTGTTTCTCGATCCATAACGCTGACTCAGCAGAACTGATTGGCTCAAGTGCAGCGGAGACTCAATGAATGAAGAACAGAACGAGTAAATAACGAGTCAAGAGGTAAAATTTGGAAGTGAAATATAAACACTCTCCTTCTTGTGTGTGTGTGTGTGTGTGTGTGTGTGTGTGTGTGTGTGTGTGTGTGTGTGTGTG